TTTATGTGTTTAGGATTCTAAGCGTATGTATACGATATTAGAACTAGCATGTAATTGTTTGGATTAATAAGGATGAATTGAAATCTTATCGTGAAAGATGATCTAATTTCACCTTATTTGGTGTATAGATAAAAAATAGTGAGAACAAGAAGCGGAGTTGGAAATACTAATGAAAACAGGAATCAGCCCCCTGTAGTCGAGCAAGCGCCTGTGATTGAAGAAGTAGCTGTTGCAGCAGCAGCAACACCAGAGCCAATGACAATGGCAGGAGTTCAAATGATGATTCAGGCAATGTTGGATCGCCAGATGGATGAAACAAGACGTTTCATTATGCAGAATCGCGAAGAATTGTCAATTCAATTTGAAGAGCCCGAAGTAAATTGAGGGCAATCCAAAGGAGAAAACCTCAGTGGAATCATTGGTCAAGACGACCGACCGATAGTTAGACACAACAAACAGTATGGAGGAAATGATGGGCGTGGGTGTAAGTACAAGGATTTCATGGCATCCAAACCACCATGTCTATCCGGAAGCCCGATGCCAGTGCAAGTTATGGACTAGATCTCCGAAATGGAGACAATGTTTGAAAGTTGCAAATGCAGCAACAGGAAGAAGACCGCTCTTGCGATCCATCTGCTAAAATCTGGCGTGTTGAGTTGGTGGAAGCTGTTAGTTGACTTTATGCCCAAGGGAGAAGCGAGTAAAATGTCTTGGGAAGACTTTGTGGAACAACTGAAACTGCAATACTGCTCCAAGCAGGACCTTCTGGAAATCAGTAATGAGTTTCAGAATTTGAAGAAAGGGAAATTGAGCGTTACTGAATACGCTGCTAGTTCACAGAAAAGATGAAGTTTATCCCATATTTGGTACCAACAGAACTCTCTAAGGTCAACAAGTTTGCCCTCGGACTACTAGCGGACTATGGTCCAATGGTTAAGCAAGCAACCACATTGAAAGCCGCCATCTGGGCTGCTAGAATTATTGAGACCTAGATCAGGGAGAAAGGTCTGGAGAGGTTAGAGGTTGGTGAAAAGAGGAAAATCGATGGACCCTCGGGGTCCAGCAAAAAGGGTAAATTCTCAAAGTCTAGTTCGAGAGGAGATGGAGGAGGCAAAGCGAAATGGTGCAAAAAATGAAAGAAGAAGCATCATGGGAAATGTGGCGGGGAAGCCACATGCTTCAAATGTGGAAAGCCAGGGCATTATGCCAATGAATGCACCCTCACCAAGAAAGTTTTCTATGGTTGCGGTGAGGAGGGGCACATCTCGAGGGATTGTCTGAAGAAGGAGGCAACAAAACCCAACATTCCGCCAAAATTGAAGGCGAGAGCATTCCAGATGACACTGGAAGCTACCAAAGAAGAAGCTGATGTCGCTTCAGGTACCTTTCTCGTTAACAAATTGCCTGCCCAAATTTTATTAGATTTTGGAGCCAACTACTCCTTTATTGCGCATGAATTTGGTAGAAAACTAGCTTTGCCTGTCGAAAGACTAGATAATGCTTTATTAGTCGAAGTTTCTAGTGGCAAGTTTGTACTTGTTATCCATCGTATGAAAAAACATCTTAATTGACTTGGATGGGAATATGTTCCACGAGGAATTATTGCCTATAGAACTTAATGGTTTCGACATCGTGTTGGGAATGGATAGGCTTAGCGCCAATGACACCGAGATATTGTGCAGAAAGAAGATAGTCAAAGTAAACCCACCAGGGAAAGAGTCATTTATGGTGTATGGGGACAAGTGCAGAGTAAGTTCTGGGATCATTTCTCTAATGAAAGCCAGAAAGTGTTGGGCCAAAGGATGCACATCATATTTGGCATTTGTGATCGATGCTAAGAAGGAGAAAAAGGTGAAGCATAGCATTCCTGTCGTGTGTGATTATCCGGAAGTATTTCCCGAAGATCTTCCTGGATTGCCGCCTGATCAACAAGTGGAGTTTAGAATAGACATGTTACCCGGAACGACGCAAATAGCGAAAGCACCTTACCGACTAACACTGATGGAGATGAGGGAGCTGATGATGCAACTTCAGGAGTTATTGGACAAAGGTTTCATAAGACCTAGTTATAGGGCAAAAGGTTTCATAAATGAGTAGCTAGAATTGCGTCTCACAGTCTCACAAAATTAGGCCGTCTCATATGAGTCCAACCCTATATATATATATATATATATATATATACACATATATATATATACATATATATATATATATATATATATATATATATATATATATATATTGAGAAAAGTTTAATAGAGAACCATAGTTATTGGTTATTCAAGGAACCAAATCTTTTTTTCAATTTTTAAAGCTTATTCTTTATCGAAAAAATATATAAAAATATCTAAATTCATATATTAACATTGTGAATGTGAAAAATATTTTTCGGATTCACAGTGTAAATCTGGATTCACCTTGTGAATTTTCAAAAATTCACATTGTGAATTTGACGTAAAAAAACCGAATTTGATATCATTGGAAAAAAGGATAAAAAGTTATGAATTTATGTATTTTTAGTTTTTTTTTTGATAAAAAATAAGTTCTAAAAGTTGAAAAAAAATTGGTTCCTTGGTTAATTATGGTTCTCTATTGAACCTCACCCTATATATATATATATATATATATATATATATATATATATATATATATATATATATATATATATATATATATATAGAGAGAGAGAGAGAGAGAGGAGGGATCAATTGAGAAAAAAAAGGTTGAGAATGGGGGAACCATTCTCAGCCAATCATTTAATGAGTTCAAAAAACGCACGATGACAAACTTGTAAATAATCTAAATACATTAATGGGCGGTGGCAAATTTGTAAATAATCCAAAAACATTAAACCGTCAGGGCACTTGAGTAATTTGATAACACTTCAAATCTCGATAGAAAAGCACAATTTCCCTCTTCGATACACCATAACACGAAAAACCATTTGCTGAAGAATCGATAAGAAGAAAACCATTTGCAGAAGTATCAAATAATATAAACGAAGAAAAATGTCTTCTATTGAAAACATGAACGAGACCTTTTCCTCACTCTTAACAATGAAAGGTAACCATCGGCATTTATTCTTGAGTTTTTAACGATTTCGAATCATTTCTAAAATTATCACTTGATTACTTGAAATTTCTCGTAATCTTCGATAATTATTAGTTGATTTAGAACTGAAAACATTGTTTTCACAATGTTTGTTCTTCAAAAAAGGTTGTTTACTTCAATTTTTTATGATACTCGTTCATTCTCGTAACCCTCCTTCGTTATTACTTTATTTACTTGAAATTTTTGTAAGAATCATCTATTATTATTTGATATACATACATACATATATATATATATATATATATATATATATATATATATATATATATATATGATTTTACATCATCTCTTCATTTTTCATCTTTATTCAAAACTATTCTGTCAAAATACAAACGTTACTTCACATTTCGCTTATGTTATCATAATATTAACTACTTAACCTTACAGAAACAACACCAACACTGAAGAATACATATAAACGAAAACCAAGAACAAATCAAAAAGGTAAATAAAATATGTTTTGTTTACTTCTGAACACAAGCAAAATTAATATTCATTCGTGAATATGTATGATATATTCACATATGAATAGAACATATCTTGTTGCCATACATACGTTATTCATATGTAAATACAACAAGAATGACTTACATATGTTTTATTCACAAATGAATATAACAAAACATATTCATATGTGAATAAAAAAATATGAATACATATGTTTTATTCAAATATTCATTCGGGAATATGTATGTTATATTCACATATGAATAGAACATAGTTTGCTGCCATACATACATTATTTATATGTAAATACAACAAGAATCACTTATATATGTTTTATTCACATGTGAATATAACAAAACATAGTCATATGTGAATAAAAAAAATATGAATACATATGTTTTATTCAAATATTAATTCGTGAATATGTATGTTATATTCAAATATGAATAGAACATATCTTGCTGCCATACATACATTATTTATATGTGAATACAACAAGAATCACTTACATATGTTCTATTCATATGTGAATATAACAAAACATATTCATATGTGAATAAAAAAATATGAATACATATTCAAAACATATGTTTTATTCAATATTCATTCGTGAATATGTATGTTATATTCACATATGAATAGAACATAGCTTGCTGCCATACATACATTATTCATATGTGAATACAACAAGAATCACTTATATATATGTTCTATTCACATATGAATATAACAAAAAATATTCATATGTGAATAAAAAAATATGAATACATATGTTTTATTCAAATATTCATTCGCGAATATCAAACTCATTTATCTTCTACTTACTATTGAATGAAGGTAAGAACACTAACATTTTCGATAAAGATTCACCAACAATGAGAGAAACAAGATCAATGCAGAAGAGGAAAAATGTGATAGGTAAAAAATTCCTATCATATCTAATATATTCATATATGAATAAAATTGTATATATTAGTTATATTTTTGTAATAAATAAATATTAATAAATCAACGAGCATATATCATATTCATATATCGGTAACTTATTCAAATATTATATGTTTTCATTTCTCAGATAAAAAAGAAACAAAAGTACCAAAGAAAATAAAGCATCAAAGCAGAAAAAGTCCATCAAAAAGGAAAACTCCTGAAAAACAACAACTACAAGATTCAGACTCTGATTTTGAAAGTAGTCATCCATCAAAGAAGGAGAAAAAAGGAGTCACCAATCAAAAAAGACAAAAAAACCAATGGTAAAAGAATTTTACTCAATGAAAAACAGATGTTCACCAGAGGCATTACTATCTATAATCCTTGGGATGAGCAAAGAACAAAAAGAATCTATAAGATCTATGGGCTTTGGAGCTTTGTTAAAAATGAAAATCACAGATATACCATTGAAGCTGGGATTTTATGTTCTTCAAAAATTTGATTCTTAGAGAATGGTGATTGATATTGAAGGAAAGGAACTGAAAGTAATAGCAGAGTCTGTTCATGACATGTTGGGCATACCAATTGGTGGAACCAAACTTACACAATTGGATCAATGGCCTAAGGATGATACAAGTTATGATGAATGGAAGCAACAATTTAAAAAAGATTCAATCATCCGACTGAGTGCAATCAAAAATATTATTGTTTCTACCACACAAGCTGATCTCAATTTCAAATTGAACTTCTTAGTTCTTTTTGTCAACGCGTTTTGCGAGTCAACATCAATGGGAAGATGCAACATGTTTCCCTTGAGTTATATTTCAAGAAAAACAGATATCAACAACATAGACTGGTGCAACTATGTTTTGGACTGTCTTGTCAGAACAAAAAACTCATACATACCATACTCAGATACCAGCTTCTTTGTTGGACCTTCAGCTTTCTTGGTGGTAAGTTATTATAATGTTTATACTCAATTTCTAATAATATTGATTATTCATAAACTAATAGCAAATATTTATATATGAATAAGAAAAATATATTTGTTCACACGTGTGAATAAGTAAAAAATAATATTACCTTTTCATATATGAATATCAATTAGTTATCATTTATGTGCAGTTGTTCTATGCTGATAACATCCACTCAGAAGCTTTAACAGTAACACGTAAACGTCCAACAATTTGTTATTGGATTTCAGAGAAGATTAGATATCGAGAGACATTTGAACAAGAAAAATGTAAATTTGGACTTGGAGAATTAAACGAAGAATTTGTTAATGAACAAGATGAAGGAGATACATATCTCGAAGAAAGTGATTCTGATAAAGATGAAGATCATTCTGTTGAGGTAATTAGTTTGAACATGTTAAGAATATATGATTGCATTAAATTCTAATCATACTTCTTTTTATTACATAGGCATATGAATCAAAAATATCTAAAATGCTTAATAGTTTCGAGAGGATGAAGGAAAAGCTGAATTCAAAGCTCAATAATGCGATAACAAAGTTCCCTGAAAAGGAAAGTTTTAGGATTTTTGAAGAAAAGATGACAAATATAATTGGTGAAGAAAAAACAGAAGGCATAACTATTTTTGAATTTCCAAGTAATCAAACTGGATTTGAAGGAATCAATTTGACACCAATAATGGGTCAAAAAAACAAATGATCAAAAAGAAAATGAAGATGATGAAGGAAATCATGAAGAAGAAAATGATAATGATGGAAGCCAACCGGAAGTGGATTACTTGCTTGATTCAAATGAAGCAGGGAATGAAGGAATAAATAATGATGGAGATAAGAATCAAAAAGAAGGTGAAACTGAAGTAAAAGGGAAAGATGGAAAGAACAATGAAAATGACAATGATGAAGAGAAAAAAGATGATGATGCTGAAGAAACAAATAATCATGAAGAGACTATTCAACAAACTGAAAATGAAAATTTGTTGGATAAAGTTGTTGACAACATTGTGGACAATGTCCTTTGAATTCAAATTTCAAGTTTAAATAGTCAAGAAGATGAAATCTGGAATGACCCTGAAATGAAAACTATTTTGGATAATATTGATATAGGTAAATTTTGTCTTACTTTTATTTTAAAAAAATCTTACTTTTATTTTTAAAAATATATAAAAATATTGATACACAATAACAATTTTGTTTATTAAATTTTGACCAGGGTCACCAATGAGTACAAGTAAAACTAATACTCTTGCAGAAAAGAAAATATCAGAAGGTGTACACGAACAAGGAATAAAAGTTGAAAAAACAAAGGGAGATGATACATGTAAATGAATGATTTAAAATATATTAAAATATTTATATTGATTTTTTTAATAACATTGTTTATTCATAAGTGAATAATACACTATATAAATGAATAAAAAATAAAAAATATTCATATATGATGTATATGTTTCAGGCAAGGAAAACTCTGAAGATAGAAATAAAGGAGGAAAAGAAGCTAAGAACACGAAAGATGGAGGTGAAGATAAACATATAAAAACTGAGAAACGAAATGCAGAAGATAAAGGTAAATAGCTGAATCACTAATAAATAAATATAATAAGTTTTATTATTCACAAATAAATAACGCAATATAAAAAAAATTAATATTTCTTATTCATAAATAATGGTATGCATTACTTATTCATAAATGAATACATTACTTATTCACATATAAATTACTTAATTAAAGTTTTTTATCTTTCAGGAAAGAAAAAGTCAGAAAATGAAAACAAGAAAGGAGAAAAATGTGAAAAAACAAAAGGAAATAAAGGAGGTAACAATTTGGATAAACATTTCAAAATATAAACTTAAATATTATAATTAACTTACAACTATTTATATGATAAATCTCCTGGCATGCAGATACTCATCCAAGCTTTAGTCTAGGTCTCATTCAAAATTCAGATCAAACTTCAAGTACAAAATCTAATGAATCTTCACCTAAAAAAACACTTAAAAAAAACAAATCAAAGAGGACCATCAGAAGGTTGTTATCAGATTAGCAAAGAAAAATGTTCTTAATCCAAATCCAATCTATGTATCAATTCCTACTGAAGTAGGACCATCAAAGCATGATCTGGATCAACGAAGAGAGTAGAAGCTTGCTGATGCTTTCAAATCACCTTTCAAATGCAAAATAACAGACACAAAACCCAAACTGACACATCAGGAGAGTATTGTCTGTGAATGGTTGTTCAACTTACAAGGCAATACATTGTAAGTAACTTTATTTTATATACATTCATATATGATTATTATATAGATAATAATCTATGATATTTTGATTATATATTTGCGGAGATGTAGTTGTCCAGACAAAATATGGTCAGATAACAGAAAGAGCAGTTATGGAAAGTCTATATGCAAACACAGAGATTTTTAGAGAAGTTTTAGACACTTGGTCTGATTTACTTAACCACCAAGAACTGGAAAGAGATTTTGGAAATTCACCATACAGACTCTTCTTGAAAGTTGGAGTTTCTGTAAGTTTATGTTCTAACCTTAATTCCTTCCTTATTGATAAATGAATACACCAATATGATGTATTATTTTATGAATATTATATTTTTTTCAACTGAAATTCACATATGATTATACAAATATGATGTATTCTTTAACATATATATATATATATATATATATATATATATATATATATATATTCAACTGAAATTCACATATGATTATATTGGTTACAGACTGCTTATCTAACTTCAACATTGTCTGATGAAAGAAAGTATGAAAAAATCAAGGAGAACTTTCATGATAGTACCAATGGGTACAAAAAATCTTGAACTAAAAAGATATTAACATGGTAGTTAATTAAAGTTGTTTTTTATATATATTTTATCAACAAAATACTTACCATTATATACATAAAAACAGGTATTCTTTCTAGTTGTTAGAAGTGCTCACATTTTTGTGATTGTTTTCAACTTAAAGAAACCATCAATTGAAATTCTAGACAATAGTGCAGTTGAGGGGGATTATGAAGGAAATACGGAGTAATATTGAAACCTTTGGTATGTACTCAATTCACAACAACATAAAAGAACCAATTTATTACATATCTAACTTTTATTTTATTTAATGATCAAAAAAATTTGTTTGTGAGATACTTTAAAGAAATAAACCATCCAAGAGCAAATGCAATCTCAAAAGAAAGTATCAAACCCCAACGACTTAAAATGTCATGGAGAACAGTTAAAAACAAAGTTGATTGTGGGGTCTTTGCAATGAGACATATGGAGACCTATATGGGACAACCACTCTCAAAGTGGAAACCTGGTCTTCATAAAGAAAGTGCAGTTCAACAAACTACTTTAGAGAAGCTCAGGTAAAGATATGCACACATAATGCTAACTTCTGAAATTAACATGTTGCAGGCTAAGGTGTTGGATCTTGCTGAAAAATATCAAAAAGTTGAATTCAAAGTGCGTACTGATCATGCATACAAGGCTATGAAAATAATTCAAAAAAGGTTAAAAGAATATTGATGATTGCTTGTGAAGATGAAAGAATGTTGAAGTGTGATACTATAGAATAGTTTGTGTTGAAGGTGAATGGATTTGAAGTACATGTAAGATGATTTTGCGAAACTAGTTTTAATGGTTTGTTAAATGTTATTGAACATCGTTTTAATATTTTATGAAATGCTTATGAACAACTTTTATTATCTTGTGTTGAATGATTATGTAATAGAAACAACTTCGCTTATTTTTGTCAGTTTTTTATATTTAAATATTTTCAAAGTTTATTTATGTTTATTCATAAATGAATACGAATATGATATATTAATTTATGATTAAATTATGAGTAATATGTCAGCATAACAAAGTACATATATGAATATAACAAATTTTAGATATGAATATAACTAACTTATTAGTAGAAACAAGTTTTCTTATTTATGTCATTTTTTTATATTCAAATATTTTCGAAATTTATTTTTATTTATTTATAAATGAATACGAATATGATATATTCATTTATGAATATGTTCAAATTAATATGTTAGTATAACAAAGTTCAGATATTAACATAAAAAAGTTTAGATATGAATATTACTTATTTATTAGTATAACAAATTTCACATATTTGTATTCATTTATGAATAATTAACAATATCAATATAACTTATTTTATAATAATTTAAAAAACAAATATCAACATATCAATTTACCATATCAATATAAATGTGTATTATTCATACATGAATATTATTTTTTTATTGTTTTTATCCGCATCTATTCATAATGAATAAAACCAAAAAAACATTAAAAAAAAAACTAAAAAATCCCTACCTGTCTTTTGCTGATTTAGCAGCTCCAACTCTTTCTGGACAAGTACGTAAATTGTGTGGAACTCGTTTTTCACATCCTAAACACATTCTATGTTCTTTTTTAGAATTTTCATATGCTACTTCACCTGCACCTGAAATTCTTTTCTTGATTCCAGAACCTTTATTGCTTTGAACTTCAGGAACATGAATATTAATCTAATTTGGAATAGGAATAGTAACACCCAAAAGCTTGCATACGACTTCACCATCTATCTTGCTTTTCAATCCAGGAGAAATATAATCACTCTCAAATTCCTTCAACAACATTTGTTGTTTCTCAGCAAACAAAGCCAATCTCCTTTTGTCATCTCTTACAATATCCAAACATGATTCAAAACTATAATATGAATCATTGACTAGCTTTACATTCTCACAATCACTTGAATCAGATTGAACAGAACTAAAACGATAATTTCTTGATATCACATCCTTTCTCCATCTCTTTAAAATGTACCTTTCAGGAATTTCTTTAACACCACATCTCATCATTATTGTAAAAGCATGTCTGCATAAAGCACCCATACGCTTAAAATGTTCACAACTGCAATTTATTTCTTTCTCTTCAGCTTTTATTTCAACCCGATACAAAAACAAAATTTACACATTTACATTCATATAAGAATACTCATATCAACACTTATATATTCATATATTCATATAATATTCATATATGAATATATGAATATTCTCATATTCATATATGAATATTATTACATTTTTCATAAAAAAAAAACTAGTAAAATTACCTTAAATTCATTTTTAAAATCACTTTTACTGTTGTTGTGTTGCACAATGTCAACTTCCCAACCATCTTCAATACCACATATGAGTATGTACAGAAAAAACATGCTTTATATATTTCTTTTTGCACCTCAAAAAATAATGTACTTGTATAAACCTTTGATGCTTGCAGTTCTATTTCTCGAGGTGTTTGCATTTTATATGATGTTTTCTTTGATGCTTTATCAAGCTCTCGTTGAGTATTCCTTTGCTTTTGAATGGCAGTGTCGTAATTCATCATGAAATTCAAAAGTAAGTTCCTACTTTCTGAGTATGTATTAAAGAATGAATTCATACTCTCTGACCTCGATGTAGTCTTCATCAAACCACACATTGGAATATCACTAAAATATCCAGGTATCCATGAATCACGTAATGTAAACTTGTCTTTAAACCATCTTGTGTCTTCAAGATTGAATTCCTTCATAAGCAAACCCCACTTCGCCTCAAAAACATCAGGTTTCATATTAATGTCCTAAACAAGCTTCGAAATCATTTTTCTAAAGTCTGTGTTCGTAAATAAATCATCTGATATCTGTATTAAAACAAAAATATTCATAAATGAATAAATAATAATAAGTAAAATAACAATCAATATTCATAAATGAATATACTAATAAGTAATATATTTGAAATATATTAAAATAATACCTTTTTTCAACTTTTTCATTATATGCCACATACATAATCGGTGCTTTGAATTACGAAACACATTCTCAACAACTTGTTTTATTGCAGCATCTTGATCAGTTAAAACAAGTGTTGGTTCTTTCCCATGAGTAATAAGAAATGCTTTAAGCAACAAAGAGTAAGACTCAATGCTTTCATTACTTAGCAACCCAGATCCAACAGTAACCGATTTTTTATGATGGTCAATAGCAGTAAACAGAACAAAAACCATTCGATACCTAACTCACAAAAAAAAATGTTCATTAAAGTCAATTTTTGATGTATTAATAAGTGAATATAAAAATATTCATATATGAATAAGCTATAAACAAAAGTAGATAAAATAACTTACATGTTTGTTCAGAAAGTCACATCAAACGAGATAACATCACCAAATTCAACATAATATGCCTTCTCCATTTCATCAGCCCAAAACATCATCTTGACAATTAAACTCAAATGAGTAATTTGGATAGTGAGCTCAATGGTCATTCATTGTGTTTACTATCATTTGGGCATCTTTATAACCAATAACCCTGTTGATATCTCTCCTTAAATTTTTATAGTCAACTACTTTTGGCTTTACAAACTTATACCCACCTCTCAGACTTGCCCTCAACTTACGAGCCATAGTTGGACCTATTTTGATGTGGAAGCACGCACAATAAACTCTTTTTCTGAATATGACATTTGTCTCGCCTTTTTTTTTTTTAAATCGCTTCTCTTCTCAAGTGGATGGTTGTGAAGTTCATCAAAGTGAAAAACTTTATAATCTGGAGTTCCATACACAGATTCAAATATAATCGTTGCTTGATAACTAATAGCTCTTGAATTTGAATTTCGTTTCCTCCTAACACCACTTGTACCTAATGTGTCACAAGATTTCTTTTTCTGTTTACCACCACGATTACATATAACATATTTCTTCTTTATAATCTTGTTATCAAACCTTGATTGTGTGCTCAGTCTAACATCAAAACCATCAATTTCAGCATACTCAGAATACATTTTGATAGCCAACTTTAATGATTTGAAGATTAAACCCTTAAATGGAATAAGTTGAACAAGTACATCTGGTTTATAGACATGCTCTTCAATTATATCATCACAATATTGCACATCATGTACTGAACTTGAAGATTCACCACCTAAAATAATAATGCATGAATAAAACAATAATATATATAAATACATGAAACTCATATATATAAAACAAAAAACATTCATATATGAATAAAACATTCATATATGAATACATAAACTTCATGAGGATTCAAAATATATAAAATAAAATATAACTTATTCATATATGAATAAAACGAAAAAAAATAATAAATTTGAAATTACAATTATCACACGTTTATTCATATATGAATAAGACAACAATTTATTCATATTAACATATTCATATGTAAATAAATGATAATCAACAAAATTAAAAACAACAAAATAATTCAATAACTGATACTTTCAAAAAAGAGTTCTCAACATCTTCTTCTTCACTCTCACTCATAGAAGAATACAAATCACCATCAATAACACTAGAATTCGACATAATACACCAAACGATCTATATAAATAAACAAAAACAATTTTAATATCGAATATATCTCACAAAAAAAGTCGTAAAGATGAAAACCTGGATAATTTCGAATATATCTCACCTCAACGTACAAAATATCTGAAAGAAACTTAAATCATATATGATCAGATGATGTAATTAAACAATCTCTCTTAGTACAGAGCGTAAAAAACTACAACGATATATCCGATTAAAAATTAAATCAGCTCCGATTTGAAATAAATATCTCAAACTACTTAACAAAAATCCGATGAAATAACTCCAATACATATTCGAAACTTGATAATCTTGATAATCTTGATAATGAACTCCGATGAAACAACTCCAAAACGAAGATAATAAGTGTAATTCCAAACAAATTATAAAAAGCAATAATCTTGATATTGAACTCCGATCTATCCGATTCAAACGATATATATACC